GATCACTGAGGTTGATGGCCAATTTAGGGGTAGGGACAACTTTCATGTTGTATTGCAAATAAAATATTCTTGTTTTTTGTGGTCACCAAAGATCATAGCAAGGATATGGTACCCACTCCTACAACAACTTCTCTTATTATAATTGTAAAGAAAGTCAAAGAGAAACCAAATTTGTGAACCCAACAATAATTTCATAACCTCAAACCAACTCATGGAAGGAACAACAACTGTGAAGATAATTGAGATCTCTAAAGTGGCTCCTCCGCCCCCGGAGGCGTCACGTGCGGCGGTTGTGCCATCGTCTCTTCCTCTCACCTTCTTCGACCTGTTATGGCTGAGGTTCCATCCAGTCCAACGCCTTTTCTTTTACGAGTTACCGTCTAATGATATATCTTTTATTGACGAAATTGTTCCGAAGCTCAAAACCTCTCTCGCTCTCACTCTTCGCCATTATCTTCCTCTGGCTGGCAACCTCGTTTGGCTTCCACACTCCGACGTTCCGACCATCGAGTTTGTCGATGGGGACGGCGTTTCTCTGACGGTAGCTGAGTCCGGAGCTGACTTTTACCAACTTTCCGGCAATGGGTTCCGGGAAGCTTCTGAATTTCATCCTCTTGTCCCCTACTTGCCTGCTTCTCATGATCGTGCTGCAGTGATTGCTATTCAGGTAGCTAACATATTCAAGACACCACCTTTAAAACTTACATAACTATTAAACATTAAAGGTTCGAATATATCAATTAATCTTTAAAGAACTCATGTTTATTTTTAAAAAATTAGTAAAATTTATAAGATTAAGGTGTTCGATTTGACCCATGATCAAAATATGTCGATAAAAGAAGCAAAGGAAAAACTTGAGTAGATAAATCTTTGTGAACAAAGAAACTGTTACAAGATCACGTATTTGTTTAGATTGCTAGTATCTTATTAGATCTACTGGAGTTATTTAGTTTTGATTTGATTTAATTTTTTATTTATTTACTCGTTTGTTATTAGATTTTATGAAGATTTTTAGATAGATTTTCTAAATATTTTTTTTGTATTATCTATAATACATTCTTCTCATAACTTTTCAATTCTATTGGTTGTAGTTGGAAAAATAACTTATATCTCAGAAGTATTTAGAATAGGAAAAGCACTGACTAGCTTCCTAAACTTTCTCTTCAGGTCACTAACATTCTTCTTTAATTAAACCAATGGGTCAATTCCATTATAGTTGCTCCTTAAATAATAATTTATACTCTTAATACAGGTCACCACATTTCAAAACAAAGGGTTTTCCATTGGAATAACCAATCACCATGCAATTCTTGACGGATTAACCTCAACTTCATTTATCAAATCGTGGGCTCAAATTTGCATGGACCAATCATCTGTTCCAATCGCCAACCTAATGCCATTCTATGACAGGTCGGTTATTAATGATCCAAAAGGTCTTGCCAAAATCTATGCAAGCGCATGGCTGAACCAAGAAGGACCCGACAACAGGAGCTTAAACCTTAAACTACCCAAAACTAATCCTCGTTTAATCCGAAGCACTTTTGAGTTCACACTCCAAAACCTGCAGAAGCTAAAGCAATGGGTTTTGAAGAAGAATGATGAGCAAATGTCTTCATTTGTAGTGGCAATGGCTTATCTTTGTGTATGTACAGCCAAGTTGGAGGGCTTAAGAGATGGAAATTTGTTTTTCGTGTTTTCTGCTGATGTTAGATCTCGTTTAAAGCCAGCGGTACCTTTGAATTACTTTGGAAATTGCGTGGTTGGTAGTTTTCTTTCCATTGAAAGAGTTGAGCTTTTGGGTGAAAGTGGCATAGCTTTGGCATGTGAACAGCTCTCGAAAACTATTAAGAATTTAGGAGGAGGAGCTTTAAAGGGAGCAGAAAATTTCGGTACAATTATGAGTGAAGTGACTAATGATTATTCCAAAATACAACCCATTGGCCTTGCTGGGTCACCTAGATTTGGAGTTTACAATGCAGATTTTGGGTGGGGAAAGCCAATGAAGGTGGAAATAGTGTCAGCTGAATCACCATTAGTGTTTTCTTTGAGTGATAGCAGAAATAGCGACGTGGGAATGGAGATTGGAGTGGTTAAAGAGAGAGAGCAAATGGAAACTTTTGTTGCTCTGTTTAATGAAGGTTTTGAAGCTCTTTGAATCATTTGAGTGGAATCAAATGTGTTATCAATGGTGGATGTATTTTAAGGCTTATTTTATTATTTTGTTTGCATTTTTATGTCATAGTTGAGAATATTTCGTTTTAAGTAACAACTTAAAAAGGTTTAAAGAGTATAGATAATTTATAATTGTTACAAATGATTTAATTGAAATTGTCAGTGAAGATATGTGAGTGAGGGTTTGCTATACAATAAGTTTGTATATGATTTAACTACGAAATATTTAATTTCTCTCTATAAATCTGTTAATTCAGAACATCGATATTTCATAAAATGATCATATGTGACACCATTCTAATCCTAAGTGAATTATTAACTCCTACTTATGGAGGATTGTTCTTTGATTTGCATGAGTCAGGATGGTTTTTGTAGCAAATTCAATAAGCCTATCATTTTGGGACATAATTTCACAAGATCAAATTAATTTCTTCCTGTATAGAAAAGTAAATAAATAGTTTCTTTAAGCATTGATTTCAAAATTGGAACGGTCACAGCTAAAATTTGAATCTCAAAATCAAGGGCCGGACCGACAACGAAATCATGTAAAACAAGATGGACAAGAAGAATTTACAAAAAAAAAAAAAAAAAAAAAAAAAA